GGGGTTTGGGGTTTGGGGGTTTGGGGTTTAGGGGTTCAAGGTTTAGGGGTTTAGGGTTTAGGGTTTAGGGTTTAGGGTTTAAGGGTTCAGGGTTTAGGGGTTTAGGGCTTCGGGGTTTGGGGTTTAGGGTTTAGGAGTTTAGGGTTTAGGGGTTTAGGGGTTTAGGGGTTTAGGTTTTTGGGGTTTTTGGCAGTACATGGGGCGCGGATGTGGGGTTGCAGGGCAAAGTTTTGTCAGGTATAGTGGTTCAGTCTCGGATTTTCTTTAGCATAGGGGTGCCTTATTTACAGATCCTTCTCATCAGGACTCATTGTAGCCCCCTCCTTGACCCCAGCTGGCTGAGTAGCTGAATAGGTAACCTCACCGTTCAGGGTTTGCATGGTCCCACGGTTTAGGGTTCAGGGTTTAGGGTTTAGGGTGTAGGGTTTACCAAAGATCAGCCTCTTTGCGGACAAAGAAGATAGCAAAGAAAGCAAGACGACAACCCCGTGGATGCCGAACCACTCGAGTTGACTCGCCCTCATATTGCTGTTTGCTTTCAAGGTTAACTATCCCAGGTAAACATGGCCCCGTTGTTCCTCAGACTTAGTTTTATGATTCTCAGCATGAGCTGGTTATCCTTAGCTACGCTGATGATCTGTACCGTTTCATGTTATTCGGTCTCTTTCTGCAGCATTTTGAACGATGCTTGCAGACCCAACTACATGTGGATGCCTTAGTGCTGTCTTGGTTATTCGAAGTTCTGTAATTCAAAACTATAAATCGTTTGGTGTTAAGGATGGATTCTCTTGGTTAGTTGCCAGTGTTCGAGATTCTCCTGGTTAACCCCTCAACCTATATGACCCCTAACCCCTAAATTCTAAATGACCCCTATAGCCCCTAAAATCTAAAACCCCAAACCCTAAACTTTGACCCTAAACCCTAAAACTGAATCGACCCCTATGCCCGCAGGAAGTCATCGTCATCGACCCATCCTCTCTGGCTGAGTTAGCAGATCTGTCTGGCGACGTTGCAGGCCGGACGTGAGGGTAGTTTATAGTGCTGGGTGTACTTACAAGGTTTCCTAGAAGTGCTTCCCTATAAGGGTAAGGTAAGGATCATATGCGGTTTTGCAGGGTTTTTGAAAGCATGTATAGGTATAAATTATATAGGCCCTGCAAAACGTTCAGCTTTTGAGGAAATACCTGGACCCTAAACAAACAGTTTTTTGAGGGTTCCTGATATAAGTCCTTACAAAGGTAGGTTCTTCAGGTAGGGTTTAGCTCAGGGGTTTGGTGAGTGTACACACACCCAGACCACCGCAAGGATCTAGAAAGTAGATCCTTTAAGGGGGTTCCTATAGAGTACTCTTTAGTTTAGGGTCCCAAATTAGGGGATCTACTTTCTAGATCCTCCCGTGGGTCTGGGCAGCATTCTGCTCGCAAAGTCGGTTCGCTAACGGCGCATCAGCCGATCAGCCAATCAGCCGGCGGATCGGCCGATGAGGGTCTAGGGTTTAAGGTTCACCTGGACCCCAAAGAACCTACCTTTTGTAGGGTTCCTTACTATGATTTCTTTATATAAGTCCTTAAAAAAGGTAGGTTATTTGGGTTTAAGGTAGGGCTTACCTGTGACCCCAAACCCTACAACATAGTAGGTTATGACCTCTCACTTAAAGGGTAGAACCCTAAACCCTAAACCCGAAAACGGTAGGTTTTTGCATCCCCAAGTAGGTCTGAGGTCCGCAGAGTGGGACGCCCTCGGGGCCCCAGATTTTCAGTGAGTTTTTGTAACCCTAAACCCTAAACCCTAAACCCTAAACCCTAAACCCTAAACCGGCGCACTCAGAGGCC